TGAGTGCACGTGTACTTCATCTTACTGCACTTTATCATTCGTCGCTAATGGAACACAAATACGAGTGACTTTAATACTTGTCGCTATTGAGTATTTTGTTGAGTATATAATGCGAGAAGAAACTCGGGAATAATAAACAAATGTCAAATTTTGCGACGATGAATTTTAAATTTTCAGAACTCAACACTGCCAACCATTACCACCTTGCAGCCTCCTTGGCTAGAATTGGAATAACCAACGATTCCAGTTGCTCTTCCGACACAGAAAGTCAAAGTTTTGATCATAATTTATGGCACTGTTCTAAATATGACTGAGAAAGACCTGAGCTTCTAGTTAGGCTGAGTAATTCGAACTGTACGACGCCCTTTACCGCCAAACAATTCGTAGACGCAACTGATCATAAATATGTAAACGAGTTATATATCGTCAAGGTAGGAGTACCCGAACGCATACTACCAATTATGACTTATGTCTAAATTGTTATTCAGTTTTCCTCCCTTTTTGTACTCTCAATTAAGTTATGGCAAAACCAGAAAACGAGAATCTATTTGACCCAAGGTAACAGGGTTTTTTAATATAAAAAATTTTCTCTATCCAGCATCTCCTCCCTATCCCCATCCCTCATATTGTTAACCCATTTCTCACCCCTCATATTATATATATGTTGTAACCTCCGGGTTGATACTATACCAATCAATTTTCTATGTATAAACTTGTACCATATTGTTGTCTTGTCTTGTTTGTAAATATCTATCCATGTTAATAAATCTTGTTCAATCTTGAATCTTGAATATTCGACCCAAGCTCAATTTTTCAGATTTAAAATAGGAATCTTTTTATAATTTCAATTTTGTGACGGACCGCACTGACATGACACCTTCAGGCGCCATCTCTTAACCGAGTTGGTTAGAGACGCTGGTCGGTGTAGCGTATGTTAAACGGAAAATGTAAGCAACAACTAAATAAAATCATTATTTACGGTGAAGAAAAGGGCCGATTAAGTGATTGAAATCCAAAAGTGGGGAAAGAAACTCACGAAATCATGGAAAAATTGGTGTTCGGATACTGACGTATTGAAACATCGAACGTCGCTATACTCGAACGATCCACTTAACCTCACCTGTCAAACAAATTTTCTTGCGCCTTATCATCCTTTTCTTCATCAACATATTGTTCCGAAGATTAAATTTATTATTTAATGATTGATCTACCACAGGGGAAAATTAAAAACGAGAAAGGAGCAAAATTACAGTGCAGAGGAGTTGAAGAAGGCACTGGCAGCTCTGAAAACTGGGCAAAGCATAGGAGCAGTGAGCAGAGTCTACCAAATATCAAAAACGATCCTTTATGAAGAAAATATAACAATTGTGTATATAACTAATTGAATAAAGACTTTGATTAACTTGACACGTTAGAAGAATCATTTAACGTGGTATACGACTACAAGAAACTGCACCGGATTTAGGGCCTTTGGTCGTTCGGGTACTGACGTTTCGACCAACTCGTCAATTTTCTTTCACTATTATTCACAGGCGCATGAATTTTATATCAAATTGTTTTTTTTTACGCAAATAATATTGTAGTTTGCAAAGAATTATTTTTTTTGGTGATTCTACATTTGAATAATGAAAAAAACGCATTTTATTACTGGAAAATTCTTACACGTTCGGGTACTGGTGCTTCTACAGTAAATAACAAATTCGGGGCAGGACCTGCTCGATGCATTAGAGAGGAGAGAGTCAGGTTATTTTTTACTTTAGAAAGATAAATCTTTGAGTTTGAGCGAGTGACTGAACGCAAAAATTTCAAATTCAAACTGCCCAATAATGCAGGACGATCGATGGTATTCCGAAGCATTTTATTAGCAAAATAATTTATGTCTTCGCCCTTTGTTGCTGGAGGCTTAGAAAATTGAATAGCTTACACAAGCGACGGTAGTTGCACTCCTAATCGAGATAGACTCCATCCTCTCGACAGCATACAAATTTCAGGCGACGTTTCTGGATTATTTTAAACTCTTGGATGTTTTTCGTGTACAGGTGGAACTATACGACACAGCCATATTCCAACTTAGATCGTAGAGGACTGTTGAATAATGCACATAGCGCCGTTTCGTTCTTAAAATTTTTGCAAATCCCAATTATAAAGCCGAAAACGCGCTTGGTACCGGTGCCGATAATTAACGCCGAAACATAAGGCCCTATGAAATCAACATCATGTTCCGAGATTTCGTTGCGAAAGCCACGAAGTGTCCTTTATCTAATTAATTTTTTCTTCATCCATCTCAAAAAAAGTAAAATGAGTCGTGATACTGAGCTTTGCATCTGAAATTTCCACGGTCATCTAATTAAACCATTGACTCACCTCATTCTCCACAATTTCCCCTCCACTAAATTCAAATTTCACAATATCTGAATTAATTTCATTGTTTACCTCACCAACAGTAACTCTGTTTACACCGCAGGTACGAATGTCATAGGTACCAATCCAAACAGCATGGCTGTGTGTCCGAAATGACCCCTATGTTATTACTCCATTGGAAACGATCTTTGAAATAATTTCAAAATCCACACAAGAGTCATCAAACAGTTAAAACCCGCGTCATTACGAGGTGCATCCAGACAGAAAGTGTTGGAGGGGCGGAAGCAACACATCCTTCCCCCACCCCTGCCAATACCATAACGACCCATCTCCCCGCTGCCACCGAGGGGATAACGCAAACACCCGGGCGTCGCGCACGTGGTTGAGAAAAGGACAGTGAAAAAGTGCCTTCCTTCTTCGACTATGTTTTTTTTATATACCTCTTGCAGCCCAACAGGTAGAGGACGGGGGCACAGGTGGCACCCGGCACCCAACGTGTGTAAGCTAATGCTGGCTATAACGTGCTCTCAGTTTCAGTCATTCGTTACCGATTGTGAGCAGTGGAAACGTTACTGTCTCACAAAGTTTTATACGAAGAAGAAAAAATTTTTTTTTAATTATCTCATTGTTTTGATAGGTTTTGTGAATCAGAAAATTATTTGTTAATTTTATTGATCAATTTGTCATAATTTTTAATAATAAATGAATTTTTATCAAGTGTTTTTATTTGCAATAAAAAGTTTCAGTGAATTTGTTTAGAAGTGTATTGTGACCCTCATGACTCTTATTTGTTGTGCTGTTTCGGTGATTAGTGTGTGTTATAAATGATCAAGTGACGTGATTTTTTTTTCAGTGAAAGGAAGTTATGGTTTATTGTGTTATTAAGGCTCAAAAGTGGGTCGAACCTGGATACATTCTTTGTTTTCACAATTGAGAGAATAAGACTCCCTGTCGTTTGAACCGGCAGTGTGACCGCAATTCGTTGGACTGGAATTATCGCGATGAAAGCGTAAGTATTCAAAGTTCTTTTCTTACAAGATTTGGGTGTCAAAACAATCGTTAGTGAAATCATAAGTGGAACCTTCGATTTTCTCGAAATTGTGGATGGTTTGGATGATACATGCAGAGAGAGAGAAGAAATTTTGGTTTTCAAGGATATGTCACTGATTCTCAGCGATCCATCACTATTTTTTTAAGAACCCTTCCCCAAGTTTTGATGATTCGCGAATTCTGAAATTCAGTGACTCATTCACTGATTTTAAGTGACATGATATCGCGATTCCAATGATATATCATCACTAATTTTCAGGGACATATCGCTGATTTTCAGTGATCAATCACAATTTTTTAGGAACCCTTCCCTAAGTTGTGATGATTCGCGAATTTTGAAATTCAGCCTCTTTGTGACTGATTTCAAGTGATATTTTCAATATTTTTTTAAAATTCATCCGCAATTTTTGGAGATTCGCGAATTCTGAAATTCAGTGACAAATTCACTGATTTTACCTGACATGATCACGCGATTCCAGTGATACATCCTCAGTCATTCATCATTAATTTTCAGAGATATGTCACTGATTCTCAGTGATCCATCTCTTTTTTTAGGAACCTTTCCCCAATTTTTGAAGTTTCGCGAATTCAGTGAGTTTGTCACTGATTTTAAGTGACATCATCACTAATTTCCATTGATATAGTCACTACTTTCGAGGGAAATGTCCCTAATTTTCAGGAATCTGTCACTAAATTTCAGTGATAGAAATCACTGATGATCATGTTTATTCGAGGAAATGTCCATTATCACCAATAATTGAAATGCAAAAAAAAAAATTTCTGTGATGTGAACATGACGGCCCAAATTGAGACTTTTGTGGCTTTCCTCAAAACATTTGTCCATAAAAATCTTCAAGTAGAGGGTCGTAATTAACAACTTTACGTCTTAATTTAAGACAATATTTTGTTATATGTAGCTAGAGAAATTTCGATCCAAAAAGTCGGCATGACGACCCGCCTAACATCGGCAGTTCCCCAGGTATTGACAAAACATTTTTCTTCTCAAATATCTTTTTTATCGTTGAATAAGTTTTTTGTTATATCTCAGTCAATTCTCAGTTGGATATTAACAGAAGGATTTTCTCTCATAGTGCAATTCTTTTGGTCGAAATTTGGATGGGAAAATTCTCTTCCGAATACCACTCGAGTTTCAAAATTAATCAGGTATTTTCCTCAAGGTTCCCTACATAAAAACGAACTAATCGGGAAATAGCCAATAATTTTGGAGCTCTTAAGGTATTACATACGATTAGTCCCTGATCAGGATCTTGACCCATGGAGGGTGGCCTTTAATATTAACGTTGTACAATTCATACTTCCGCGGTTCAAAATTAAGAATTTCAAAGTTGTAATTAATCTCGGAATTATAGTCACTTTACACAAAGATGTTAACATCGCGATTTAACGCAAAGTATGAACTTCGCAATTTCTCGCCAAGATCGCCGTAATATGAGAATGCACTGTTCGATTTGTATTTTCCAGCATCCCACTCCTTGAGACAAGCAGAGATTGGCGTAATCATAATTTTTAATTCTATATAAAAAGGAGAGGTCGCACGTTTATTCCTGAATGTCTGAAAGAGGAATCGCATGCATGATGACGATACTACTGATTTTGTTGATGATGTTGATGATGATGATACTTTTGTTGGGGGAGTCGATGTTGCTGATGATGTTGATAATGTTGGTGAGGTTGATCATGCTGATATAGATGTTGTTGATGATGTTGGTCATGTTGACGGTGTTGATGACATCGATGATGCATCAAAAGCGCGCACAGCGCGCTCGACACGATTTCGTTAAAGTTAAATTTTGAATAAGTCAATTGTTACTATTACTCACCAATTTTTTCATTATTAAATTAACCATCGATTTAACCCTTTTATCTAAGCTTTTTCTCACGGTCCCCGTGTAGCATGCGATTCGGCTCTCCTCACTACCACACCGAAAAAACAAGTAGAAACAATAATCAGGCTAGAGAGTTAAATATTCATATTCAGAATCATTTCATCCACCAATAATTGGGAAATTCAAATTACCAATTATTATATTATTTTTCAAATTTCAATGAAGATAAGTAAATCGTAATTATTGTAAGGTGCAACTTCGCCCAATATTACTAAATTAATGATTGATGCTGATCTATGATGTCATCCTTCCATTGCCCGCGATTCTGATTGGGGGATAAATCAAAATAAAACTGATATGAAGGTATCACGTGACCACGAATACTAAACTCTGGTCGCAATCAGAATTGAGGAAATCATCAAGAAATATCAGTTAAATATCTTGTAAGCTATTGGAAATAACATCGAATAGTGAAATTCTATTGGCCGAAACTGAATGGGAAAAATTATCAGTTAAATATGAAATTCCATAATTGTTTACCCCTCCCCCCTCAATCGAATTCAATCTCGCTTCCCTGAAAATTACAATCAAACTGTTCATAAAATTCCAATTTTTCTCCAACAATGTACCGAATTTTCCCGTCTGTATGCTAAATTACGCCTGCTCTCCATATGATAATCCAGAACGATACAGTTTACAACACTAGAATCTTGCCAGTACGTTTGGCTTCGTGTGAAAAACGAATCTGGTTCAGCAGTAGCTTCCAAAATCCGAAAAAAAATGCTAAAACCCGTAAAAAATTAGAGAGAAATCCAGGAATATGATTTTATGGCAATTGTTATGCGCCAGTCGTATGAGTACGTGTCCTTCACGGGCAAAAGTCTCGTACATGATGGGAAAGGGAGAGATTGGTCGGCAGGAGGGGGAGGAGGGGGCAGAAGAGTATGTATAATGTACGCAGTCAGTGAAAACGGTAGACGCGACCTGCGCCGGTTGGGGGATACCGAAGGGGCGACACGCCCGGAATCCGTTTCAGGGGAATGAGCAACCACAAAGTGAACGAGAGAGAGAGAAAGGAGTAGGCGAAGAAGAAAAGATCATTGCGGCAAGCCTATCGTGCACGTCGTACCGATATAAATTTTCACGAATAAAGCGATAAATTTCACACGAATTCATGGGGATAGCAAGAATAGATGAATAGTGACCGGTTCAACGTGACTCGTGAACACGATTTTCGAGGAAAATTCATAGGAATTCATGTATTATTTTTCGCTGTTTTAACTCGTCAAAACAATTTTCTAAATTCCAAATGACAACTCCTTAAAATTAGATAATTAAAATAATGAAAACGATCCCATCAGAAACGATCCCATCGAGTTATGAAAACGATTCCATCAGAAAGCCGAGAAAATTTCCACTGGGAAAACTCAATATGATGACCCATTTTGCCCCAAAATTCTCCGAGAAACAAAAAAAATGTTTTGACAGCAAAAGTTGCGATTGAGTTTTCCAGTGGTAATTTCCATGGCTATCGAACAAACCCAATTATCGTCCCCGACCCCTCACTGAATGAACCACAAACTCGTACCTGACCTCTGTATCCATTGATTTCAGATGAACATGGTGTTAACATCGATGGAAAGAGACTCCCTCCCCAAGAAGACCGCAGCCCCAGCACCACCAAAGCCGAAGCCAATGTCTTCAAAAATCTCCCCAGTCCCCCCAATAAACTGGGAGTTCAACGAGAAGATAAGCCTGAGCAGTGGCTCGAGTACAGGAATAGAAATGCGTCCGGACAAAAAAATTGGAATAGGCTTTATGGACAAGAGTAGAAAGCCATCCAATCCCAGACAATTGAAGCCTAGTGGAAAGTCCCTGGACCTCTTCAACGTTTCGGGGTACCCCCCACCCCCTAGAAACTCAGCACCTTCCAAAGTCGAAGTTTTCCGAGATACTGAAGATAGCATCAACGTCCTCCGAAGCGATTCGAAGTATGAAATTGGAATTCCAGGGGAATGCACAATATCCCGGAAGAAGAGACAGGAGCGTCGAAAGATCGATAGTTTAAAGCAGCCCCGTAACACTGGAGATCTCACAGGAACAGTCAGAAGACGCTGGATTCCAGCAAACGAGAAGATAGATGATTCGATAGCGAAGAGACTGGAACTGATTCACGAATTGAATCAGAAGATCCTTGCGAACTACGAGAGAATCCAATCAAAGTCGAAGAAGCTGAACCCCAAAGTGACGGCAACGGCCAAGTCATCAGACAGCTTGAAGACATCATCGAAGAGATCAATATTATCATCATCTAGGGCGAGATCAGCCCTGTCAGATGTTAGATGCAAAGACCCAAATAAGGAACATATCTACTCCGAGATCGCTCCCAAAACAAAATCAAAACCACCTAGAGGACAGACATCAGCCAGCCATCAGGTGATTGAGAAGGTGATGGTTCACAGGGTCGCTGAGGACGTCGATCCGAAGTCAAAAGATAAGTGGAACCAAAAGGACTCATCCACCAAATTGGGAAGCATCAGGACGAAGAGTTTGAAGAAGCTCAACTCCAATTCAAAAGCGAAAACTCCAGTTTTTGTCGACGAAAACTTCATGATGAGTTCCAAGCCAGAGTTTGAAGGAGCGCAATTGAAAGGATCACTGAAGTCGGAGATGAATGGACTTGATGCTGTAGAAAAGAACACTGCTAGATTTCACGAGAAGGAGACCGAGATGAAAGAGCTTGAGAATAGACAAAATACTGCGCGTGTATTCGATAAGAATCTGCTGGGCTCGAAGGTGTATCCGGAATCCAATATGAATATCAGGAGCTGGAAGGAAGAGTTATATACGTCTTTGAAAGAGGATCAGAATCTCGAGAGGAAGATGAGGAATAGTCGGGAATTGAGTAATGGAGATGATGGAAAAGGGGACGAGACTAGTGTTCTTGAGAAGGAGATTCTGGATAATTTGAATGAGACCATTGGCCGTTTCGATAATGAAAAGAATACGGATGGTGATGTAAATGTGGATGAGGGAACGGGTGATGACACTTTCAGCGAGGACTCGATCCAATGTACCACTTCCAGTTCAAAGGTGAATAGAAAGGACACTAGTAACCAGGAAACATTCAATTCCTCATGGGATTCTGGTGTTGGAATCGATGTTGGAACTGGCAATGGATGGGTCAGAATTCACACGGGAATTGAGAGTAGCCTTGTCTATCTCACTATTGATACCACGACCAAGGATATATGTAGGGATATGCTGCTTGGTGATGAATTGTCGATATATGTTCAGGTAATGTAATATTTCAAACTTTTCATCTATGTCCGAAAGGGATTGAATGGGTGACCCAGTCACACTTGAATTGGGGACTAGAGAAAATGAAAAAATCGCGCGCGCGGGATTTAAATTTATCATTTAATTCACTCTAGAACACACTTTAGAGTATAAATTTCTGGAATTCAATACTTGTTGATACTCTGGTAAAAGTGTGTGCCCACTGTCATCAATTTTTAATTAATTCATACGGTGATTCAATTAATCCGTGGTTCATCCCATCAATATAATTCCGTGCTTAAAATATTATCGGTCTCATGCTTTCAGCACCAAATTAAAAATTAAAACTTAATTTGGAATATTGAGTCACAGCTGTTTTTTATGAATATCAGAAATTTTATATTTAGATATTAATATCATTTTTTCAAAGTGAAAAAATTCATCATCATTTTCAGTACACTGCATTTAGTTTCTTCTATCCTTAACTTATTTGTCAAAAATGTGAAAAAGCTCAGTAAACAATGTTAAGAAAGTAGGATTATTTTATTTTCCTCTGATCCAAATGATTTGGAGAATCATGATTCGTTTATTCATGTTTCTATGTATTGCCTGAATCATGAGCCTGTCAAGGACTCTTTTCAACATGTGACCTAATTATTCGGATCAAGTCGTAACTCATCGAAAACAGCCAAAATATATCATTTTAGGTCGTTTTACGGGCAGCTACTCATTGCCTCTCATACGCATAACAAGTGCATTCATCGACACTGAACGCGAAAATCAATTCACCAATCGTTTCGTGCATTATCCAACAGTATTTTTGTCAGTGATTCAACGATTGTTATGAGTTAGTTATCGATATCGAATGTATTTCAACGTTTTCGTAGGTACATCAACATGTATTTTATCTCGTAACTCTACAATAATAATTCAACTCCTTCAATGTAAATTATCGAGACAGTTTATCGTTTGTTATAGTAAAATCATCGAGTCCGTTATCACGTGTACAATAAACTCAACGTGATATTTATCTCGTAAAATCAACGAAAAATCATCAGTGATTTAGTGAAAATTAACAGTGAAATTCATCAGACTTATTATGAACAGTTATCAAGACAATTACCAAGTATTTGTGTTGTAATTGGAATTCAACTATTGAGTCATTTGTAAATATTCGCGCATAATTGTTTTTAGAGAATCCCGAGTAGAAATTTTCGCTCAGTTAGCTTCAATCTAGATCAGTTTTAGGTCCAATACTGGACAGAATTTATTGATTAGACTTTCGGATCACGATCTGATGAGATCCTGAATGGTTTCTCTGAATCCAATGCGGCAAAGTGAATTTTGATTCTATTCTGATCAGTTAAATCTCGACTAGGTCCGTACCGGGTCCGGTACTGTACAGATCCTCGGATCCTAGAATTTTAACCAGGCATGGATCCAAACAAGCGTTACATTTCTGATCCAAAACTAATCAAAATTAATTTTTACTGGTCAGTCTCTTATTCTATCCTGATTTGAATTTCCACTCGGGATAGACTTGGCTCAGGCCTGATTCTCTGTGTCTTACAAACAATCCAAACCTACACTTTCCCCTTACGAGACCATCCTGGGAATCAACGACCTCATCAGGTTTTTAACACCCATGCTTTTTTTCAGAAAGGATGACATTTCTAGGCATTTCCACCGAAAAAATCACAATTACGTAACTTCTATTCGGAAGCAAAAATGCTTTTGAACTCGAATTGTGAAAGGGTTCAGGGTTTTTTCACTGGAAAATTCCCTGGCTATCGGATAAAAAGAGAGCGCTCAATCCTGTTGATCCATTCAATTCCTAAAAGCATTTAACTCGGTTTTCATGTACTCTCTTCTCTCATTTCATTCAATTTGTCTGCATCATTCTGGTAAATTCAACGTCCTGGGAGTCATCATCTAATAGATAGGGATCGCAGTCCGAAGATGAGAATTATCTGTAAATCCCTCATTAGAGAAATGGAGAGACATTAGACTATTTTCCTGAATACGCCAAGGGAAATAATGAGAATTGGCCCCTGTACTTACCAACTACGGCTGTAATACCAGCGATGACATTTCCCGTGAAATTACGAGGTCTTGCTCTTCTTATGAACCACCAGGTCTCCATGTACTTCTATATATTTTGACCCGATTACTGATAATCGATGCAAACGAGAATATTATTTGAATCTGTTATGTCCACCCGACAGTCTTCTGGGGCTCTAACGAGCATGACTTTTCATGGCGCAAGCTCATCCCTTTTTCTGTTCTGTTCGCTCTTTTCGATGGGTCATTTTCCACAGTTTATCGTGAAAATTAACGGAATGAATTGGGATTATTGAATTTTAATTTTAGAAATGAAGTTTAAATTGAGGATTCGCATAAGTTTTTATCGTATACTGCATTTCCATTTGGAAAAAATATGACGATATTTCTCTAGATGGAAAAGAAATTGAAGGAAATTTTAGGAAATACCATGAGAAAAATGCAAAAAACAAGTTGAAAATTGCTTTTGTCCTTGTATAGCCTAATTTTCTTCAACCGCATGTCACTTATCGTTTCATATTATTTTATTTTATTCAATTATATATTTTTTTCTTTAATTAATTGTGTTGGATTTCTTATGAAAATTCTTGCATAGGTCAAATGAAAGAATGAATTTTTGCACAGGTCAAATGAAAGAATGAGAGTTCTGAATAGCCCGTCGCTTAAATAGTTGGAATCAACGTTCACCCGGCTAAAAAATTCGATTTTGGCAAAAAATCCAAGATCTGACACATTGACCCTTGTGACCCTTGACCGACTTTCCCCCCGGAAAAATCCAAGATCCGACACTTTGGCCTCCGGTGAAAATAATTTTTTTTCATTTTTCACTTTTCCATATACTTTTGATAGTTCTGAATAGCCCGTCGCTTAAATAGTTGGAATCAACGTTCACCCGGCTAAAAAATTCCATTTTGGCGAAAATCTACTTACCCCGGAAAACCTGAAAATCTGACCCTTTGGCTGGGGCCAAAAAAAACGGTTTCTCAGTTTTCACTTTTTCCACATACTTTTGATAGTTCTGAATAGCCCGTCGCTTAAATAGTTGGAATCAACGTTCAC